AGTGAAATATCACAAAATCCCCCTCATACTCTTTAAAAACATAACCTGACTGTAATATTAAAATAGATGTGAAAAACAATAAATTTTTGAGACAATATCAAGGAGGAACTAGCGTACGCCTAGAATGTGATGAGAATATAGTCAGCCTAAAGGCAAATAATGGGCTCTTCTTACTGTCTTACTTAATGGTGGCGATTGTGGCACATATAAAGTCTGATTAAAATTATAATACTTCACTTACACTGTGAAACAGGTACAATTTGAAATATTTAATAGTTTACTTACGTATTTACACATTTACTTTCATATAAGCATACACTTATGTATGTGATGGGGTGTGTGGTGGAAATAAATAACAGCCAAACGGGGCAATTACAATTTAAAGGGGGTTAGTTGTGACATTAAGTGATGTATTTATATATCAGATATAATTGAGACACATAAATAATTGTAAATGTATATTTCCATATTGGCAGATAGGGTTTTTAATTTCTTGAACATATTATAATTTATCGAATTCGGTTAACTTTCCCGAAAAGATGTCTAAAAGTTTTCTAGGTTAGCTTTATAGGAGGATGTATACCAGGAATGTGCTACCCCCATGAAATTGTCAGTACATTTTTTAAATTATTACCATCTGATAAGTAGTCAATAGAGAAATCTGTATTGTGGTCTAGTAGTCTATAGTCTAGTTATAGTCTAGTCTATAGTCTAGTCTATAGTCTAGTCTATAGTCTAGTCTATAGTCTAGTCTATAGTCTAGTCTATAGTCTAGTCTATAGTCTAGTCTATAGTCTAGTCTATAGTCTAGTCTATAGTCTAGTCTATAGTCTAGTCTATAGTCTAGTCTATAGTCTAGTCTATAGTCTAGTCTATAGTCTAGTCTATAGTCTAGTCTATAGTCTAGTCTATAGTCTAGTCTATAGTCTAGTCTATAGTCTAGTCTATAGTCTAGTCTATAGTCTAGTCTATAGTCTAGTCTATAGTCTAGTCTATAGTCTAGTCTATAGTCTAGTCTATAGTCTAGTCTATAGTCTAGTCTATAGTCTAGTCTATGTCTAGTCTATAGTCTAGTCTATAGTCTATAGTATAGTCTAGTCTATAGTCTAGTCTATAGTCTAGTCTATAGTCTAGTCTATAGTCTAGTCTATAGTCTAGTCTAGTAGTCTATAGTCTAGTCTATAGTCTAGTCTATAGTCTAGTCTATAGTCTAGTCTATAGTCTAGTCTCTAGTCTAGATTTATAGTCTAGTCTATAGTCTAGTCTATAGTCTAGTCTATAGTCTAGTCTATAGTCTAGTCTATAGGTCTAGTCTATAGTCTAGTCTTAGTCTAGTCTATCTATAGTATCTAGTCTAGTCTTAGTCTAGTCTATAGTCTAGTCTATAGTCTAGTCTATAGTCTAGTCTATAGTCTCGGTCTATAGTCTAGTCTATAGTCTAGTCTATAGTCTAGTCTATAGTCTAGTCTATCGTCTAGTCTATAGTCTAGTCTATAGTCTAGTCTATAGTTCTAGTCTATAGTCTAGTCTATAGTCTAGTCTATAGTCTATAGTCTAGTCTATAGTCTAGTCTATAGTCTAGTCTATAGTCTAGTCTATAGTCTAGTCTATAGTCTAGTCTATAGTCTAGTCTATAGTCTAGTCTATAGTCTAGTCTATAGTCTCGTCTATAGTCTAGTCTATAGTCTAGTCTATAGTCTAGTCTATAGTCTCGTCTATAGTCTAGTCTATAGTCTAGTCTATAGTCTAGTCTATAGTCTAGTCTATAGTCTAGTCTATAGTCTAGTCTATAGTCTAGTCTATAGTCTAGTCTATAGTCTAGTCTATAGTCTAGTTTATAGTCTAGTCTATAGTCTAGTCTATAGTCTAGTCTATAGTCTAGTCTATAGTCTAGTCTATAGTCTAGTCTATAGTCTTGTCTATAGTCTAGTCTATAGTCTAGTCTATAGTCTAGTCTATAGTCTAGTCTATAGTCTAGTCTACAGTCTTGTCTATAGTCTAGTCTATAGTCTAGTCTATAGTCTAGTCTATAGTCTAGTCTATAGTCTAGTCTATAGTCTAGTCTATAGTCTTGTCTATAGTCTAGTCTATAGTCTAGTCTATAGTCTAGTCTATAGTCTAGTCTATAGTCTAGTCTATAGTCTGTCTATAGTCTATAGTCTAGTCTATAGTCTAGTCTATAGTCTAGTCTATAGTCTAGTCTATAGTCTAGTCTATAGTCTAGTCTATAGTCTAGTCTATAGTCTAGTCTATAGTCTAGTCTATAGTCTAGTCTATAGTCTAGTCTATAGTCTAGTCTATAGTCTAGTCTATAGTCTAGTCTATAGTCTAGTCTATAGTCTAGTCTATAGTCTAGTCTATAGTCTAGTCTATAGTCTAGTCTATAGTCTAGTCTATAGTCTAGTCTATAGTCTAGTCTATAGTCTAGTCTATAGTCTAGTCTATAGTCTAGTCTATAGTCTAGTCTATAGTCTAGTCTATAGTCTAGTCTATAGTCTAGTCTATAGTCTAGTCTATAGTCTAGTCTATAGTCTAGTCTATAGTCTAGTCTATAGTCTAGTCTATAGTCTAGTCTATAGTCTAGTCTATAGTCTAGTCTATAGTCTAGTCTATAGTCTAGTCTATAGTCTAGTCTATAGTCTAGTCTATAGTCTAGTCTATAGTCTAGTCTATAGTCTAGTCTATAGTCTATGTCTATAGTCTAGTCTATAGTCTTGTCTATAGTCTAGTCTATAGTCTAGTCTATAGTCTAGTCTATAGTCTAGTCTATAGTCTAGTCTATAGTCTAGTCTATAGTCTAGTCTATAGTCTAGTCTATAGTCTAGTCTATAGTCTAGTCTATAGTCTAGTCTATAGTCTAGTCTATAGTCTAGTCTATAGTCTAGTCTATAGTCTAGTCTATAGTCTAGTCTATAGTCTAGTCTATAGTCTAGTCTATAGTCTAGTCTATAGTCTAGTCTATAGTCTAGTCTATAGTCTAGTCTATAGTCTAGTCTATAGTCTAGTTCATAGTCTAGTCTATAGTCTAGTCTATAGTCTAGTCTATAGTCTAGTCTAGTCTATAGTTTAGTCTATAGTCTAGTTTATAGTCTTGTCTATAGTCTAGTCTATAGTCTAGTCTATAGTCTAGTCTATAGTCTAGTCTATAGTCTAGTCTATAGTCTAGTCTATAGTCTAGTCTATAGTCTAGTCTATAGTCTAGTCTATAGTCTAGTCTATAGTCTAGTCTATAGTCTAGTCTATAGTCTAGTCTATAATCTAGTCTATAGTCTAGTCTATAGTCTAGTCTATAGTCTAGTCTATAGTCTAGTCTATAATCTAGTCTATAGTCTAGTCTATAGTCTAGTCTATAGTCTAGTCTATAGTCTAGTCTATAGTCTAGTCTATAATCTAGCCTATAGTCTAGTCTATAGTCTAGTCTATAGTCTAGTCTATAGTCTAGTCTATAATCTAGTTGCGTAGCGTTGTCTATAGTCTGTTCTATAGTCTAGATAATAGTCTAGTTTATAGTTTGTTCTATAGTATAGTCTAGTGCATTTGAAACTCTTTAATGCCGACCATAAAACACCTTCTACTTAATTTGACTTTTTATTTATACTAAGTAAACTTAGTCTAGGTATTTTTAAATGTGACCCCAAAAAAAAATCAACTACATACATGCATACTTATAAACTTAATGAGGTGGTGGGCTACAGTTTGTGGGTAATATTTAAAAACGCAGGTTTTTTTTTAAAGCAACGGACTGATGACCATTTATTAAACATATACTTAGACATAGAGAAATACTTTACGAGGAAAAAATTGTCTCAGACTTTTTATTGGGGGGGGTGGGGTTGAACAAATTGGGTGGTTGTATGTTAATAAATATAAACAAGGATTCATGATAAATGTGTGTTCTAAGACAAATTTTCCAAACTAGTTTTGTATAGAAAACCTATAGCAGTAAATTGACATTTAATCATTAAATATTTAATAACTGTGTATGTATGTATGTGTTGTTTTAGTAATTGAAGTCCTTGTCAAACTAACTAATGCTCTAGTTATAGGTGGAAACTATTATATTTGATTGTGTGTGTGTGTGTGTTTGACGATTTTTTAAAATTGTTTATGGGGAACATAGCAGCAGGTCCTTTTCTTAGTTTTTTTTTTTATTTAAGCATACATGAAGCGTACATATGTATGTGATGTTGTTGTTTATATTTAGTCCATAAAATCATGTTTTTATAATGTCACTTTTTATATAGATAGATAGATTTGTTATTACTCATTCATGCATGCAAGCATGCATTTACTACATACATACATACATATGGGTGTATGTACATATGTATGTCGTTAGTTAGTGTCTAAGTGATATTGACTAAGGGGTTTTTACGCTCTTTTTTTAATATTTTCCATATTTTTCACTTTCATTTTGTGTCTGTCTGTCTATCTACATATTTCATTCATTTTATTTTCATTTTTCCATTTATTATTCTACCACCATTTTTTTCTTACTTTACTGGGCCAAATTGTTATTAATGTTATTATTTTTATATAGTTGTAGTTGTTATTGTTTAGCTAGTCATTTGTGTTGTAAATTCCATTTGTTAAACATTCAAGTTAAGGACATTAATTTCCATGGAGGGAAAAAAAGCGCAATTTTGTATTTTTTTTTTTTTTTTTGTTTAGAAAATTGAAGGTGAATTTAAAGTGAAAGTAATTAGGAAAAAAATGCAATTTTTTAAATGAAAATGTGAAGAAAAAAATTTTAAATTAAGGCAAATTAAATATTTTTAATTGGAAATCATAAAGTATTAAATATTAATTAAAAATTCATTAGTTAGTGAAAAGTATTGACAAATAAAACAAATATAATTGATAAATAATTTATTTATTTAAAGAAACAATTGTTAAACTAATCTATTTTATTTACCCTTAACAAATAATTTAGAAATTTTACCCAGAAATCCATTTTGTAAATCCCCAACTAAATTCAATTTAAATTTCTCTCGTTACAGGTTATATTTTCCAAAACAAAAACACATAATAATAAATAATTTTGAAAAAAGAAAACAACAACAAGCCACCTATGGATACATTAAATAAAAAATACAACTAAATCAACAACAAAAAAAAACATAAACAAGAATAATAAATAACAAAAAAGTAGGAAAATAATAATAATGGATGCAGTTAGTGCTGTGGTGACACAACCAGCAGCATCAAGTGCCACAGTTTCAGCAATCACAACTACAACAACAACAATACCATCAACGTCTAATGCTATCAATGTTAATCAGAGCAATAACCATTTACACTCACACACCAATACACACAGTGCGACAACAGCAACAACAAATAGTAACAACCAAAACAATAGCAACATTAGTATCAACGGCGGTGGCGTTAACAACAATAGCAGCAACAGCAATAGTAGCTGTAGTAGTAGCAGTACAAGTAGCAATAGTAGTGGTTATGGTAGCACAACAACAACACCCACCAATAATTATGAATTACAGCAGCAGACAACAACACCCACGACAACACCAATACCAACAACACCTGTAGCCATAGCGGAGCCCATAATACCCGTAGCTACTGTAGCTGCTGTAACACCTTTCTATAATGAGTCCATAACAAGCCACAATTTGGAGACACATCAATTGCAACAACACCATTCCTTGCATACGCAACAACAACATCCACAACATTTGCAGCAGCAGCAACAACATCATTTGCTACAACCCCAACACCATCAATTGCCACAGCATCATTTGCAAACGAATCTACAGCAACAGCAATACTTATCCAGACAACAATATTATTCAACATATGATTATCAGCAAGCAGTACCACCAACACATAATTTATCTACCGGCTCCTCCTCCTCGGCACCGGCCTACAACTTGTATGATATATCTGCTTCTCCATATGGTTCAGGGCAATATAAATCGTCTAGTTTAACAGCAACTCTAAATTACGAAAGAGGCTCAACAGTCAGAACGAATGTGGCAAGTTACAATCCCCAGCAGCAACAACAAACTGATCAGCATCAAACCAAGACCATAAACCAACAGATCCAACCCTTTCCGGCAGTATTGGCTACATCAAAACAAAGAACCTCCTCCTTAATAGGCAGTTCTACAAGTACCACCAACACTTCTAAACCGCAAGCTGCTGCCACGCCCTTTTATGCCCAGCCTTTGGCTCCTCAGTCCCATACTAATCCCACCCCATTTTATGACAATACCAAATATAAAATGCCTTTAGAATATCATGACTCCTATAGTAATCCCTCAGCTGCTGCCACGGCCTCTGCCTATCATCAACAGCAAAAGTATTATGCGGCCGCCAAATCACAACTTAAAGAAGCCGGCTATGGAACGCCGCCAGGTTTAGCAAACAGCAAATCTGTTTACGCCAATACGGGTAACTATTTTCCGACAGCAGCACCCTCCTATGACAAATATATGTATCCACATGCCGCTGCCACAGGTTATACGTCTAGCACCGGACATTTGGGCAATGAAACACCACCCGATGTCGGCAACTATCGCAAACCGGTGGGAGCTAATTCTATAAATTCTCCCTCTTGGCCTTGGGGCATAGATTATGCCTCAGGCAATAGTCGTACTATACCACCGCCGCCGCCTGCCAGTCATTTGCCAACCGCTACTGTGGCGCCCACCCATGCCACCTATTTGACACCGAATCCCTCAGCCTTGGCACGTGATCCCTACTATATGGGTCCTGAAAAATATCCTATGAAATATGACAAATATGCTGCTGCCTCCTATCAACAGTCATATGTTAGCCCGCCCGGCTCTAGACATCATATATGGCCGAATACACCGCATGGCTCTAATCTAACACAATTAAATGAAAGACATATGTTAGCCTCTGGACCCACAGCCCCTCCCCCCACACATGGTCTACACAGCACACCCTACTATCCTGCTAATCCTAACAATGGCTTAAATAGTCGACAATCCTGTTGTTCTCAACCCTATCAGCCGCAAAGTTGTTACTATCCTCCCTCTCATGCTATACCACCACGATTACCACACAATCAAACGCCCACAGCGGCCGCGCCTTCAAGTGCTTACTTGTCCTCGCAAACAACTCTAGGACAATCTCCGCATTTGAATGCTTTAAGCGCCAGCTGTAAATATGGCGGCATAATACCCGACTATGGCAATGGTAATAAAATGAAAAACTCTAATGATCTCTATTTAAACGCTCATCACTATGATACAAATACTTCACCGCACAATTATGGCTATGGAACGGCAACAGCTCACAGCAGTCAGCAGTTATATGCCAGCAATGCTCATCAAACTATGGCTCATCATGGTCTAACACCCTCATCACTACTAACACATGATCCTCTTAACGCTAATCCAGCGTCTTATACCAATGATCTCAGTTTAACGACAAGCAATTTTGATAATTATCACACACACCTGGACACACATCTAAGTCCGCCGACATTGGCTGGCATACACAGCCAACAGCCACCACCCGCTTACGGGCCCACGGTAGCAAAACGTGCCTTATTGGATTATCGTAAACCCATACAACCTCAACCTCCACCTACAATTGCCGAAGAGTGCTATACGACTCTGTCATCAAGGGACCATTACAATCAACAGGAGCTGTTGAATACCCCCGAGACCACCACAACATTTGGAGAATATGAAACTCATCAGAATAATGCCGCCAGCCTTACGTCTTTTCAACATTCCACAGAAGTACTACAAGAAGCGGATAAGACTAATGATGAAGGTAATAAGAATTTAAGTTTGCGTGATTTCATTGCCAATTGGAATGATGATGAAGATGAATACCAAAATGCGGAGGAACTTAACTTTGACCAAAGCAATGTCATTGATGAAGTTTTGCAAACGGCTCCTGTGGAACAGGAAGCGCCAGCAGCAGCAGCAACAGCTGTTATACAAAAATCCGAAATAATTAAAACTTCAAACGATGAATCCATTAATAAGGCAGAATCGAAAGTATCACACAAATCACAGGAAAATCTCGACAACTCAACATTAAATGAGTCATATGTTAACTTGCCTGATATTGTTATAGATATTGAAAAATCGAATAATGTTAATAACTCTATAACCACACCCTCGACCAGTCCTCTAGCTACCACACCAACGAATGAAAATAACACTTCCCTAAATCTCAATAATTTCGATGTAGAAAAAGAACTGGATGAACTTAAACTCAAAAAACCCACACAGCAATTGGAAACAACCAAAGATTTAAATGATATTAAAGCTGCAAATACCACCAGTACACCTCAGTTAAGTCCCTGCAAAAATCTAACCACTCAACTAAGTTTTGAAGATTTAAATTTGGAACCTACAAACAAAAACGTCCTTAATGGCGAACAAAGTTCGGAGTTAACAGAAAACTATTTCAAAGACATGGAAGGCTATGAAAGTGGCAGCAGTCATCATTCCAATGAATCGGCTTTTGAAAAAGAATACGAAACCTTTATCAATAAAATCACCAGCGAACCGAGTACAACTAAAAGTTTAGAAGAGAAATCAGCAGAAATGGATTTTGAACAAAATGTACAAGATTTTTCAAAGTTCTATAAACGTAAACGCAAACTAAAAGAAGATGAACTTAAGGCCAACGAACCAGAGGCACAAAATCAAAAGAAACTAAAACCCAATAAGGCCACCAAAGTCAACAACAATTCAAATTTTCCCCAGGTCTATACGAAAAAGTCAAGAAATAGATTGCCAAAAGGCAAAATACAAACTTTACATAAACGTAAACCTTTGTCATTATATTACAAGATCATACATTCCATAAGACGTTTCGGTTTATATCGTCTGCGAAGAGTACGAGAATATATGGCAGAGTTAAAAGAGAAACATTTGCCTCTCATTAAAAGACAATCCATTAAGAATTATACACATGATAAACCCGAGAATTTAACTAATCCCAAAACTTTAAAAGCTTTATGTATAATGGCGATTAATAGTGAAGAATTTCGTCAGATGTTAATGTTAACGTTAGCGGTGGAAGGAGAGTGTGCCTTAGAAGCCGAGGAGAAACATATATGCACTGATCCTACGTGTGAAACCTGTGAGGTAATAAAAAGTTTAATGGAAGCCGAAAGTTTTGAGGACACCTTAAGCCAACAAGTTGCGGAAAATCCCACTGAAAGCGTTCTCATTTTAAGTGATGAAGTTAAAAGTGAAACCCTTGAAATCTTAGAAAATTTCGTTTACTTAAAAGATGAACCTAAATTGATCTCAAATGTTCAATATTCCAAAGAAAATCCCACAGTATTGGATGCCAAAGTTCTGGAGCAGTGCAACTTAAATCCGGCAAATATTAAATCTTTGTTATATGATAACTCTTATTTTGAAACTCAATCGGATTCGCAGTATCAAAGTAATATCGAAAAATCTGTTACAGAATTTGATTTGAAAAACTGGTATGAAAAATCAAAATCACCACAACAAGACCTAGCGGCCAAAGAAGATTCTGATATAGGTGTCCCCGAAACTGCAATAACTAAACCGGATCAACCTATTCCCTTAAACCCTGAAATTGAAAAAGAAAATTCTGAAATTCCGCTGGAACATGGAACTGAAACTGCAGCAAATTCTATTAAGGAAATTAGCTTAACTGAACAAGACAACTTAAACCTTGCAAGAGTTGAAAGTGAACTAGACGATGTTAAACAAAAGGAATCAGAAGAATCCCTTCTCGTTTCTCCAACTACATTATGTGAAGATGAAAATTCAAATATTTCCAATGCTACAACAACCAAGAAAACTTCAACCGAAGTTAAAGAGATCTCAAAATCGAATACCAATGAAGAGAGTGATAGTGAGGAGTCTGATTCCAGTGAATCTGATTCCGACAGCAGTTCATCTAGTTCGGATGATGAATCGGTGGAGGAGAGTAAAGAGTCATGCAAGAAATCTGATACTAATGACACTGATACAGATTCAGAAAGTGATTTAGAAAATGATGATGATGAAAATCTAAATTCCAATAGTGATGAATCAAATCATTCGAAAACTATCGATCAAGAGAAAGCTAAATCAGATAACAAGGAAGTTCTGAAGCCTGCAGATTCATTCAAGAAGGACAATGTGAATTCAGAAAGTGAAAATCAAAATTCCGATACTGATGAATCAAATCATTCGAAAACTTTCGATCGAGAGAAAAACAAATCAGACAGCAATGAAGTCCACAAAACTACCGATTCATACAACAAGGAAAATTTTATAAAAGAATCGGAAAATGTCCATACAACTAATACAAAATCACCTATCAAGACCGTTAGTGATGTAGAAGATGAAATCACTCCAAAAAGACAACAACGTATTGTTTTACGTATTAAGAAATCATTCCAACCGAGTCCAGATAACAACGATTCTAGAGAAATATATGTTTCTGAGAAATCCATAGAATTTGATAGTCAAACAGAAAGTGAAACTGAAGACGATGATATAGTTTCAACGACTTCAAAATCTAGTCTAAAGACAAAAGCTTCTTTCATAGATCAGGCCTCTAATAAGTCTCTATCTCCGAATACTGAATTTGAAAATCATACAGAAAGTGAATCTGAAGATGACAATCTTTCGGAAAATGAATTCCATCAGACTTCAGAATTAAGTCCAAAACAAGATATAGCAAGAGAAAAATCTGTGGAATCTGAAAAAGAATTGGGAAATCGGACAGAAAGTGAATCTGATGATGATGATGATGTTTCAGAGAAAGAAACTGAAACTCCTTTCACAAGTCCAAAGCAAAATGAGTTTGTAGAGCATCGTGCTCAAAGTGAATCTGAAGATGATGAAATACCGGAGAAAAAATCAAAACTTATGGCAAAATTTCCAACTCAAGAAGATTACAAGAAATCTAATGCTTCTGAAGACTTAAAAGATCCCATGGAAAATGTTCCTAAAGACGATAACATTCCAAACAGAACGTCCGTTATAATTTCAACGTCTCTTATATTAAGTCCACAGCAAGATCATCATAATACTGAAGACGTCACAAAACTTTATGCCGAAAATCAAATAGAAAAAGAGGCCGAGGAAGGTGATAAGAAAACAGAAATAAGTTCCACGCAAGACGATTTAATAAACGATAATCTTTATCCAAAATCTTCGAAGCCGTGTTATGAACCAGTTAGTCTTGGTTTAGAAAATGAGATCGCAGATTTAATTCCATTATCTCAAAATCATTTAAATGAAGAGAAGTCTGAAGATTTATTAAAAGAAACTTCAAAATTCAGTCCAGAGGTGGAGGGTTCAGAAGATATAGTTGCTAATGAAAAATCTACAGAATATCGTACTAAAAATTTGACTAAAGGTGATAATATCACGCAAAATATATCTAGATTGAATGAAACCCCCGTTGAAATTAATCAAAAACTAGATGAAGTTGAAACGGAAACTTTTTCCAAAGAAGAATCTTCACTGCATGCTAAAGCCGATATTCCCACAGAAAGTCAATCTGAAGATGATACAGACGAGGAGGAGGACGATTTAGATGAACCAATCCAAAAGCCTCAACTTAAAGATGTTGATCATGGAATGGTTCCATCAGACTCAGAAAGTAGTTCTGATTCTGAGTATGAATCTGATGAAGAGGATAATCGCAAAGATTCAATGCCAATTATGATATCTGATGATGAATCTATGGATAGTACAGATGATAAGGATAACCATCACAAACCCACCAAATGTATAAGAAAAATTTCAGAAGATTCTCTTCAACGAAGTGATTCGACGGGGTCATTGCAAGATTTTGATGAAGATTCTCATGATTTTATTAGCGAAATTCACTCCAATTTATCAAGCAATATAGTAAATTCCCCTAAGATGTCGAAATCGGACAGCAAAGATGAAATATTGCCTGCTACACAAACTCTTATTACTTCTGAAAATATCATTCAGATTGCTAAAATTTTAGAAGAAAAAGAAGTTTCAAATAATGCAATGGAAAGTGACGAACAACTTGATTCAGATATAAAACTTTCTAAAGAAAATCTGCCGTTAAAATCAGTTGAAGAAACTTTAGAAGAAAAACAAGATTCGGAAACCATTCAAAGTGATGAAAAACTTGCTACAGATATCAACCATCCTAAAGAACATATGCCAATGGAATCAGTTCATACTGAAACTTTGGAGGAGAAGGATGAATCCAATAATTCATATCGACTTCCTGAAGAATTCTCTTCAAATATAAATAATCCAAAAGATGTTTTACCATTGGATTCAGTTAAAGTCAAGGAAATCCAAAATATTGAAAGTGAAATCGCTAGCGAAAAAAGTATATCGGAATATTCTAGTACTTCAGAAGACTCAGATGAGGAAATCGATGATGAATTATCAACTAAAGAAGATAATAAAACAGAAGAAGTCTCAGAAATGACCTTAGACAATGAAGACCGAAAATCAGACGAAGAAGTCGAAGATACATTAGCTATCAAAGAAGACAAACAAACAAAAGAAGACCTTAAAATGTCTGTAGATACTGAAGGGCAAATATCTATAAGCTCGGAGAGAAATTCAAATGATTTCGAATGTAATGAAAATATGGCCGTTGTTTCAGAGTGTTTAGAAACTAATGCATCACAAGATAATGCTGAAAACGAAGTATTATCTAAATCGGAAGCTCTAAGTAAAGAATCAAATACTTTTGAACAGAATAGCAAAATTTCGGATGTTATTTCCACCCAAACTGATCCAGAAGAAATGGTAAAGGCATTAAACGAGAATATTCCTGTGGGAATATGCGAAAATTTAGAAATTTTGGCCGATGTTGTTGTAAATCATATTAGTGCTGAGAATACAGTTGAATCGAAAATGATTGATTCAGAATGTGATCCTAAGCCAGCAGAAAATTATGAATCAAATATCCAAAAAGATGCCGATAATTTAACACCAGAAATAAATGATTCTATCCATCGACTTGAAGCTAAAGAATCTGAAATTTATAACAAATCTAAAATTGAGGAACCAACTGAAGTTATAGCTTATTCCGATAAAAGGTCTAAAGACCTCAATGTGGAAAAAGCACATAGTAAAACATCGGATACTTTAGACTCAACTTGCAGTGAAGAACAATCTATATCAGAAATAAATGTTTCTATGCATCAACTTGAAGCTAAAGAATCTGAAATTAATTCCAAATCTATAATTGAGGAACCAACTGAAGTTACTGCTTATTCCAAAACTAGTTGCGACGAACCCAATTTGGAAATGATGCTTAGAGAAACATCGGATACTTGCAGTGAAGAACAGTCCACCGCGGAAATCATAACCGATGAAGAAAACATATCCGGAACAAAGACTGTAGAATTCGAAGAATATGAAAGCAATACTATTGTGGAGAAGACAAAGCCTCTATCGGAAAGTTCTATAGAAAATGCTGACTCTTCAGTAGTTAATAGCAATGAGCATTCTAAATATTTAAAAGAAGCCTGCAGTCTAGATAATTCAAATACTGAAATCGAAACTGAAAACCCGGAAACAATTGAAGAATTAGTAACTGTAGAGCCCGAGTGTTTGGAAAAGGTCAATAGTGAAGAAATATTAGATGAGGAATCAGAAATTACATCGGATCCATTAACTAAAGAACCAAATAACATTCCATACCCAGAATTGATTAAAGAAAATACTGAAATTATCTCAGAACCCGAAACAAACCAAATATCAGAAGAATCAAATGATATTCATTCACCTGAAGTGATCCAAGAAAAGGCGGAAATTATTTCAGAGATGAAAACGAAAGTATCAGAGATTGTTTCAAAACAAATACCTAATGTTTGCGATATTTTGGAAAATTCAAATAACCAACTAAATGAAAATTCCGGGAATACATGTGAACTTAGAAAAGCATTAAACGAAGAGACGATAATTGAAACTCATACTCTTGCCAAATCTGTTGATGAGGACTTTACGGAGTCCCTGGAACAAATATGTGATGAAAACGCTAAAACTTTTTCAGAAGAAGAATCTAATAAACAAACTTCGGAAGTTATAGAAGAAAAATATGAAGAAACTAATAAATTCCCCAACACCTGGGATGACACAGATATTTTCAAAGAAGTCAACCAAGAATGTTTAGAATCGATTGCAGAAACATTTGATAAAATAGATTCAAATGATAGTGATATTACCATCAAAGAACCAGAGATGGATCTGGTAACAGAGGGAACAGAAATTCCAAAAGAAAATGAAACTACATTGGAAGCATTAAACAAGTCAATGGAAAACTTGGAAGAAGCAACAGCTCCGGTAAGAGAGACGTCAAAAATTCCCGAAGAAAATGTAATCCCATCGGAAGCAATATCCCAACGAATTGAAAATTTGGAAGAGCAAACTGCAAATTTAGAAGAACATGAAAGTGAAAATACCGAAATTGATACAACATCTGAATGTTATGAGTCCACTACTGATACTTTTCAATCGAAATCCGAAGATGTAGTTCTAAAACCAAATAGACTGATTGAAGATAAAAACCCAACTTCCGAGCGTAATGAAGAGTCTGGTTCTGTTAGTCCAAGTCTCACGAAACCTGAATCTTTCATTGAAAATGCTAATAACTTGATTAAAACTTCTAATGAAGAACGTGATCCTATTCAGCAACATCAAGCTACTTCCGATGATGTAATTGAAAAACAAAACATCTCCAATGAAAAGGAATGTAATGAAGAAGAATCTATGGCGCTGCAAGAAGATCTAGCAAAGTCTGAAGTTGTACTTGAGCAATTAGTTAGTTTTGTAAAAGATAAAATGGAAACTTCTGAAGTTGATGCTGAAGAATCAGAAGTTCGTCAGAAACTTGAATCGCCAGTTGCAAACGCAAGTAGTTTGGTTGAAGACAAGAATGAAAACATACAAACGAATGAAGAAGAAACCGAAGTTATTTCTCAAGTTGAAGACGAATTGATAGTATTAAATGGAAAGACAGATGAAGAACTTACAGTTGAACATCAAATGGAAAGTTTCCATGAAAATATAGTAGACAACAACATCACCCAAGAAATCAATAAAATTCCAGAAAGTTTTGATCAGGAAACTGGTTCCAACCAAACAACTCTACCTAAAGTCGATGAGTTGTCAACCAAAAACCATCAAACAGACGAAGATTCAACAGTTGAACACCAAACCGAAACTTCAGAAAGCATTCCTAACCAAATAACTCTACCTAAAGCAGATGAAGGTCCAACGGTTGTACAACAAACCGAAACTTCAGATCCTATTCCTAACGATAGTTTAAGTGAAACTGTATTAAATAAGGACAACCAAGAAGATTTATCTCAAGACTTTTTAAGTTTCAAAAATCAATCCAGTTTTGAAGATGAATCTGAGGATTTTCATGGTTTCGAAGATCTCGAAGAAGTCACAAGAATACGACAAGAAATAGAAAATCTAAATGATGATTCAACAGCCAATGATGGATTTCTAAATTACGGTGCATTAAGTAGAGAGCAGCATAAAACATCAACTACTTCATTAACGGGAAGCACTTCGTCGGAAATCAATGAATTGGAGGCTTTAGAGAAAGAACTATCACAACATCAGCCAGAGATAGTGGGAGACGACGAAGAAGAGGATAAACAGACTGAACAAGATGTGCAAACAGCAACTGTTAAAGTTGTATCAACAAACGATATAGAACATATCAAACAAATGCTAGAGAGCGATGAGGAGCAACCGGAACAGGAAGAAAATGGAAACACTGAAGGCGATAAGGAGGGAGAGCAAACAACGAGGGCAGATACAAGTAAAGATAAGTCAAAATATATTTTAAGTTCTGTAAATTCTATAATACCAAAGTTAAGTGACCTTTGTAGGGCTGCCTTAAATAGTTCCTTGAATTCTAATAGTAATTTAGCACAAGACACAACTGAAACTTCCACCATCCTAGTGGAACGTGAATTAAGTGTAGAAGAAGCTTTAGCTGAAATGTATCGCCAGGCGGGTGTATTATTATCCGATCCCGAGGATTGTGATAATGATATTTCTCCATCCGGCGATGAGGAAGCTCATGATGTCTTATTGATTAACTTACAAGAAATTTTAAATAGTGATAATAATGATGTTTATGTTTTACAATGTGATATGAATGAAAATGTTTTGAATGTCGTACAGCAAACCAATGACGAACGAAATGAACAAGAACCACATGTTAGCCATGAGGTGAACTTGAATGCGGAAAGAGTAAATAGAGTACAATTTATTGGTATTTTAGATACCCAAAGTGCAGAACCACAAATACACATAATTAGTTCCGATTCCGAAAGTGAGGTTATTATATTAAGCGATGATGAATCCGATAACGGTTATAGACCATTTATTGCCCGCCCAGAACGTATAACAATACCTTTTATCAATGATGGTAATGATGATATCAATGATACGGACAATTTATCCGATATATCAACTATACATCATGAGGAAATAGTACCTGATAATTTAAATAAATTCTTACAAGAAGAATTCTATAAATATTTACACGAGAAATATGTACAAAGAAATATATCAAAATATTATCATGCCAATCGGGTGTTGAAAAAATATCGAAAAAGATACATTAAGTCAAAGAGGCAGTAAAGCTAGAACTGTGGAAGAGTAAAAGGGCAGGTATAATGTATGGAACAGACATGGAAAAATTAGGGCTGTTGGAATTTTCTTAAGTATTTTCAGAACATAGAACTATAGACTAGACTGTAGAATAGACTATATACTAAACTATAGACTAAACTATAGACTAAACTATAGAATAGACTATAGACTAGACTATAGACTAGACCATAGACTAGAATATAAACTAGACTATAAACTAGACTATAGAATATACTATAGACTAGACTATAGACTAGATTATAGCCTAGACTATAGACTAGACTATAGACTAGACTATAGCCTATACTATAGACTAGACTATAGACTAGACTATAGACTAGACTATAGACTAGACTATAGACTAGACTATAGACTACACTATAGACTACACTATAGACTAGACTATAGACTACGCTATAGACTAGACTATAGACTACACTATAGACTAGACTACAGACTAGACTACAGACTAGACTATAGACTAGACTATAGACTAGACTATAGACTAGACTATAGACTAGACTATAGACTAGACTATAGACTAGACTATAGACTAGACTATAGACTAGACTATAGACTAGACTATAGACTAGACTATAGACTAGACTATAGACTAGACTATAGACTAGACTATAGACTAGACTATAGACTAGACTATAGACTAGACTATATAGACTAGACTATAGACTAGACTATAGACTAGACTATAGACTAGACTATAGACTAGACTATAGACTAGACTATAGACTAGACTATAGACTAGACTGTAGACTAGACTATAGACTAGACTGTAGACTAGACTATAGACTAGACTATAGACTAGACTATAGACTAGACTATAGACTAGACTATAGACTAGACTATAGACTAGACTATAGACTAGACTATAGACTAGACTATAGACTAGACTATAGACTAGACTATAGACTAGACTATAGACTAGACTATAGACTAGACTATAGACTAGACTATAGACTAGACTATAGACTAGACTATAGACTAGACTATAGACTAGACTATAGACTAGACTATAGACTAGACTATAGACTAGACTATAGACTAGACTATAGACTAGACTATAGACTAGACTATAGACTAGACTATAGACTAGACTATAGACTAGACTATAGACTAGACTATAGACTAGACTATAGACTAGACTATAGACTAGACTATAGACTAGACTATAGACTAGACTATAGACTAGACTATAGACTAGACTATAGACTAGACTATAGACTAGACTATAGACTAGACTATAGACTAGACTATAGACTAGACTATAGACTAGACTATAGACTAGACTATAGACTAGACTATAGACTAGACTATAGACTAGACTATAGACTAGACTATAGACTAGACTATAGACTAGACTATAGACTAGACTATAGACTAGACTATAGACTAGACTATAGACTAGACTATAGACTAGACTATAGACTAGACTATAGACTAGACTATAGGACTAGACTATAGCCTAGACTATAGACTACTAGGACTAGACTAGACTAGACTATAGACTAGACTATAGACTAGACTATAGACTAGACTATAGACTAGACTATAGGACTAGACTATAGACGAGACTATAGACTAGACTATACGACTAGACTATAGACTAGGACTATAGACTAGGACTATAGACTAGACTATAGGACTAGACTATATAACCTAGACTATAGACTAGACTATAGACTAGACTATAGACTAGACTATAGACTAGACTATAGACTAGGACTATAGACTAGACTATAGACTAGACTATAGACTAGACTATAGACTAGACTATAGACCTTAGGACTATAGACTAGACTATAGACTAGACTATAGACTAGACTATAGACTAGACTATAGACTAGACTATAGACTAACTATAGCCTAGTCTATAGACTAGACTATAGACTAGACTACTATAGACTAGACTACTATAGACTAGACTACTAGAGACTAGACTACTATAGACTAGCTAATATAGACTAGACTACTATAGACTAGACTACTATAGACTAGACTACTATAGACTAGACTACTATAGACTAGACTACTATAGACTAGACTACTATAGACTAGACTACTATAGACTAGACTACTATACACTAGACTACTATAGACTGGACTACTATAGACTAGACTACTATAGACTAGACTACTATAGACTAGACTACTATAGACTGGACTACTATAGACTAGACTACTATAGACTAGACTACTATAGACTAGATTACTATAGACTAGATTACTATAGACTAGACTACTATAGACTAGACTACTATGAACTAGACTACCATAGACTAGACTACTACAGACTAGACTATAGACTTGATTTAACTTTCCCATGCCTGGTCTGTGTTTAATATTCTTAGCCAGTACAATTTTCAAACCGTTATTGTGCTCAATTTCGAAAAGCAACAACTGCCATTGAAATTTTGAAACAGAAATTTTTTAAAACAAAAAATATCAAAAAAATTAAACAAATATTAAAAACAGGAATCTCAATAACCCAAACTTTTTAAATAACTTTTATGGAAAAAAATTATTAAAATAAAAACAAATAACAATAATTATTTTGGAATCTCATATTTAAATCACAATAATCCTATTAAATCGGAAAACAGTAGTTAACCAAAACAAACCGATCATGATCTTGTAATTTTTTGGAGTATAAACGTATTTTAATAGGTTTGTTTTTATAATAATTATAATTTTTTTTTTAATTGAACATAAATTATTAAAGATTTTAAGCTTCATTTACTCTTTCCGCATGGTGGTTTTGAAAAAAATTTTAAATATTCAAAAAAACCATTAAAAAATATTTTTTCTATGAAAAAAAGTATTTACAGTTTAGATAAAAAAATAAACTATTTTAATAATAACATTGCATGACTTTAGACATTTTTTCTATATATTATTTTTTGTTGCTGTCATTGTGCATTAATAATAATTACTTGTAAAACATAGCATTCAATGTTTTTTTTTTTCAAAATCATATAGTTTTTATAAAAAAAGGTTTTACAAGATAATTAAACATTTTTTTATTTATTTATATGTATATAAGGTTTAATATTTAAATTAAAATAATTTTATATTTTTTTTTATTAAAATATGTAGTTAAAAGTGTTAAAGTAGTTTTGATTTTATTTAGATTTTAAATTTTTGCTTTTGTTTGTTTTTAGTCAATTATATTTATTTTTGTTGTGTTTTTAAACTATGTTTATAATAATTTATATTTAATGGTTTTATGTTACAATTAAAATATAAATGGTTGAATTGTTATTTTGTTATTTAAACCGAAAAATAAGAAGAACACCCTAAGTGCATTAATTTATTTATTTTTTTTTTTTGAAATTTTCAAATATAATTTTTTTAGAATTTATTAAACTGAAATAGAAATCTTGCCGAAAATTATAAATGTTTTTTTTTTTTTTTGTTTTTGTTTTTGTTTTAATATTTATTATAATTGAATTAAATTTAAAAGGGCAGATTTTGAAAGGTTTTGAAAGGTATTTCCAAATTTGTGGTTTTAGAAAACTCTATGTTTATCATTGCCTCGATCGGTTGTAAGAAGATTTCTATAAAAGATCTGTTGATCTATTGTACGATCATAGTTTTCTTAAAGTAATCGTTTGGCGCTCACAAAATTCTTCAGAAATCATACGTTTTCTTAAATGTATTTAACGATCACGGTTTGATCGATAATAAATATTATTGTATGATCACAGTTTTCTTAAGGAAATTGTCTGGCGCTCATAAATTTCATTAGAAATCATACGTTTTCTTTAATTTATTAAACGATCACAGTTTTTTCAGTGTAGATCGATTGTTAGATGATCACATCCATATATTTCTATATTTAGCGATCATATTTTTTTTTAGAAAATTAAAAAATATATGATCATCGAAACAGTTTCCTATATAGAAACGATCATAGTTTTCATTGGAAAACTTAATGCTGATCCCTGCGCAGAGATACAAGCCGAGACGGCTCAAATCGGAGGCGGCTGGCCGCCGGCCGCGCAAGCCGCGCCGCCGCCGACTTCTTTCGGCTTAAAAGCTAAGCCGGCTTAAACGATAAAGATTGGAATCGCACATGTATTTCAGAAAATAATTTCACCAATTTGAACGGAGTTGCCACTATTTTAAATTCTTATGACAAATTGAAAAGAGTTGCCACACAATATTGTGCTAATATTAAAATAGTGATAACTACTATAATAATGTCAATTTTCTGCAGAAAAAACTTATATAGAGACAGGTTTCTATATAACAGACTATTATACAGAGATTTTTCAATATAATAAACGCTTATAAGGTCAATTTCTGCAGGAAAAGTTAAATTGTGCCGACAATTTAGCCGCCGCCGACCTAAAATGGTTGCGCCGCCGCTAATTTTGCATCGGTTTGTATCTCTGTTCCCGCGTCGATCAATTGTTACAGGATCATATATTTCTCTAAAAGACCTGCTCATCTATTGTTTATTATTGTACGATCACTGTTTTCTTAAAGAAATTGTTTTGCGCTTACACATTTCCTCAGAAATCACACGTTTTCTTAAATTCATTTAACGATCATAGTTTTGTTTAGAAAATATGTGATCATCGTCTATTTTTACTATATAGATATGATCATAGATACTCAATGTTGTTCCCCGCGCCGATCAATTGTTAGAGAATCATATATTTTTCCAAAATACCTGCTGATCTATTGAGTATTATTGTACGATCACTGTTTTCTTAAGGAAATTTCTTCAGAAATTTATACGTTTCCTCAAATTAATTTAACGATCACAGTTTTGTTTAGAAAAAAATGTGATCATTGACATCATTGATTGTGCCGATCGATTTTAAGAAGATTTCTATAAAGATCTCTTGATCTAATGAAGATTATTATACGATCACAGTTTTGTAAAAGAAAAACACACGATTTCTTAAATGTATTTAACGATCACAGTTTTGTTTAGACAAATAGAAAAAGATCGACACAGTTTTCTATAGATAACCGATCATAGGTTTCTTTAGAAAACTCAATGTTGATTCCTGCGTAAATCGATTGTTAGAGGAATGCAGATTTCTATCAAAAACCAGTTGATCATATAAATATTATTGTACGATCACATTTTTCTTAAGGATCACACTTCATTAAATCAATTAAGTGATCATCGTCTCTTTCTTCTATATAG